GGAGAGGGAAGGAAGAGGTACTGATGCAGTGGGAGAGGGAAGGAAGAGGTACTGATGCAGTGGGAGAGGGAAGGAAGAGGTACTAACGCAGTGGGAGAGGCATGAAAGGGTGGGCAGGAGGGAGGAGGAGAGAATATGGAAGGTAGGTGGGTGGGTGGTCAGGTAGGTGAGTGGATGGATGGATGGATGGATGGATGGATGGATGGATGGATGGATGGATGGATGGATGGATGGATGATGACACACAGGCAGGTAGGCAGGCAGGCAGGCAAGGCACGATTTTGGATGGGGACCTGAAGGGAACAGAGAGTGAAAAGAGAGCATAGAGGGGGTAACTACAGTAAAAGTACCTGACACAACAAATGTGCACCAATAAAACATTTCCACAAAAACATGAGATAGACTTGATTTTTATTGTGGTGTTTTTTTTAAAATCCAACAAATTGAACCATCTTCACTACTTTTAAATGATACTTCAAGTAATACTAACTATATTCAAATTGTTCCCAAGCAGAATTTGAAAACTTCTTATAAACCTCAATTCTATACCCATTAGACAGAAATACCCCTTCCCTCCCTTATTCCCAACCATAACACCTATCTCATGCTTAACTGGTAATTGAAATATCTTTTTCAGAATCCAGTAATCTAAGGACATTATGACCAGAAAACCTTCTCTATCATCTCAACACTCTTTTTTTTTTTGATTAATTGGAAACTCTATAAATAAATAAATAAATAAATAAATAAATAAATAAATAAATAAATAAACAAACAAAAAAGATGTTTGTGAAATGTAAGGTAAGCATGTATTTCAAATGAATATGAATTATATGCTTACACTGACTCTCACACAGACTCCACATTTCAAGATTTTTTTCATATTTAAATGACTTCCAATAATATAGATAATCACAAAAAAAGAAAGTCTTTCTGCCTACTAATCAACAACAAAGCAGAAATCAACTTGTGAGATAAATAATTACCCATCACTGCATCCAACCAAGTGGTTTTCATTGAAATAAGGGTGCTTTGTAAAATATCTTTAAATGTTCCATTAAACCAGTTGTATTATTTTTATAGTTTGTATCACACAGCATTATAATTGTTTATTATGATTTTGTTCTTTCATTGTATGGGGTATATATTCCTTTATCCACTACTGAATTGACTATTATTTTGGAAGCAAAGACTCTATCTTGTGTTAGCATAGTAAGACCATATAAATCATAGAGTACTAAGATCTAAATGCCTACTAGCTTGAAGTCACTTGAAGTAATCCTGAAGGAAATATAGTAAGGTATTTGATACTATAAAACCAAGATTTATGTTTCATCAATTCCCAAATAAGTTACTCATCAATAATGTTAATATATGTGCCACTTTTAATTTGTAAATAAGGCAGTATTTTTAACAAAAACACTGTGGTTTCACTCATTTTTTAGTAAACAAACTCCACAGTTCATTTTCTATGATTGATGTGAATAGACATTAAATATAAATATATCCAAATATATCAATCAATAGTTTTAAAAATCATATTATGTCCAAATGATAACCAAGATATGACCACTTTTGAGGTGACATATGACAAATGCAGACACTTTCCAACCTCTATTAAAGGAAGGAACTTTGAAAACACATTAAGAACTGTTGCCGGGAAGCAAACCAAGGGCACTGGCCAGGCAGATGCTCTCTGACTAAGCTCAGTCTTCAACCAGCAAATAAAATCAAAGTTCAACTTCTCTGGTTTGAAACAAATCACTAATCTGTTAGAGGACTCTAAAATTTAGCTGTCTTTGGAATAAGTCACATTCAAGACATTAAAGAATAACTTGATAATTAACAATGGAACAAATGAATTTGCAAGGCAATCATCTAAGTACTGTTATTTACCTCTGTCAAAAAGATCCAAAACTAATATATATTCAAGATGATAGCTTGAAAGAACTGCAGCAAAAGAACCACAGTGCAGTTTAATGGAGACAGGTAGAAAGGATCCTTAGTGTAAAATACTCCAAAAGCAACTTATTTTAAGAAATAACCTAAAGCTGAGTGACGGTGCATCACTATAACCCCAGCACTTGGGAGATGGAGGGAGGAGGGTCACAAAGTCAAGGTGAACCTTCCACCTGTGGAGTTTGAGCCCAACCTGGATTCATGAGACCCTTATCAAGAATTTTTTTCTTAAAGGAAGGGTGTGGGCACTGTGGAGAGAGAGGAAGAAAGGGGACTAAACATAAGAAGTAAGGGAATGGTGGGAGTCGGGAAAGGGTGAGAAAGGGTAGCTAGACAACAAATGCAATCACAATACACTGTATACAAATCTACACTTTATAGCTGGTTTATCAGTCCCTTCAGTGTGGTTGTGAACTTCAACAAATCAGCTATAAAGTCCAACACATTATTAGGAACAAAATAAAGAACAAATTCTGGGGATAGCTGCAAGCTGGCACCACAGTTAACTTATTATATATTCTGAAAGTGCAATGATTTAACCTCCTAAAATGGGGATGGGGCTTGAAGATCATGGACCTCAAAAATATTAATAGTAACCATAAGTCTAGGAATCTGAATGAAAACTTAAGGAAAGTTAGCTGATGACCACACTAGTGTGAAGTTCTCATAGAATAACTACTTCTTCATTGAGCTACAAAAATTTGGTTTTAATTTATCATTTTAATTGATAACAAATGAAATCTTTGTAAAGTATGTGTTCTATTGAAAATGCACTACTAGAGAAATCTTTAACTGGGGTATAAACAGTTTCAGAACCATTAAGCACGTCACAAGACCTCCCAACTCCCCCTGGAACTTCATTCCATGAAGTAACGTGGGTTAACTGGAAATCGCAGACATATTGAGACTACAGAAACAGGGAGCAAGTACAAACAGTAGCTTTTTCCAAAAGTCAGCTGTCAGCACAAAACTTACTCTATGAAAATAATGACACTATATTCAGCATTCACAGACAAACTTGAAGGAAACTGTAATTTACCATAAAAATTAATTTCAGACCAGAAAATTCCAATTTGTATACAGAAGGGAAAATAACTATTAAAACTAATTCATTATTTTTATGGATTCAGACAACACTCACTAGATGATTTGTACATGCCAGACACTCTGCAAGGAGCTAGTGAGTAAAGAGGTGTACATTCTGTTGTGAATGTTAAAGAGTAGAAGAAGGTGGAGCAAACAAACAAGTACAAACACTGTCATATTACACTCAGTGCTATGGTCATATGACA